CATGTCTAGAAAGGACAGATTGTCTAAAGGGCTCAAGGTGCATTTCTCTGGGCTGTACATAGCTGGAATTCCCCTGCATTCTGCAGCGTATGTGCGTAGTTGTATCTAATCACACACAAGTTTGTTTTTCACTGTGCAGGATTGTCCCTGTCCCTGCACTCACTAGAGTGTGGTCGCCTCAAGACTAAGTTTTAGGAAGGAGAAATAAAATGGGCCACAGAGAATTTCTTGGACACACGAGAGCTGCATTAGCAAAACTGGAACCCAGGAACTGAAACAAAACTAAAACAAATCAACGGAAAAGTGTCCTTTCCCTTCTTTGGGTGGGTGGGTAGAGGCTTCCTGTTGGGATAAACAAGGGGTTAAGCCTAGAGCAACTGCCTGTTGTGTCTTATAAAAATACCACAAATCAGCAACTTTCACTAATGAACTGCACCTTGGTGTGTCACTGGTTCCCCACTATCCTGTTATATCAGCGAGCTGGGCAGTGCCTGCCAAGCTGGGGGCCCCAGGAGAATCAGGAATCAGGGTTAGTCTTCCACAAAGAGCTGTTAAGTAAGAACAAACTGTACAGTGAATGAAAGCTTGTAAATCAAATGGTTAGCTGAATAGCATGTGCCATTATTCTAAAGCAGTGGGGCTGAAACCTAAATCCAAACGACAATATAGTCAATTTTTCTATACTTTAGTGACTGAATGACTATGTAATGTCATGGAGCTGTGGAGAATGGACAGAGGCAATTAGTGGAAAAGAGCAAAGCTCCTTCATTTCCTCCTCCTCCTCCCTCCCACCAGGCACTAGTTTGAGGTCAGGTGAAAGTCCTCGGTGGATTCGGTGATGACTCCAGTCTAAGGGCTGTTGAAGATCTGTGCGCCCAATTTCTGCCCCTCTGCAAGTGACCAGAGCAAAGTGTATGAGAAATTTTCCTCTCCTTTTCATAAGCTTAAAAGAATAATGTAATTACCATAGGATTTATTCTTCCATTACAAGGATGTGATGCTACAGGGCGCTCAGCCCTCTCACTTCCCATGGAAATCAATGTGAGATCAGGCCTGATGTTTATAAGGCACCTGAAAGATGATGTACAAGGACAAAGTCTGATCATTAAGAGAGAGGAAGCTTCACACCATTCACAAGCTCTCTCACTGCTGCTGTTGAATCTCCTTCTCTTGGGGCACCCACGGGGCTGGAGCACCCACGGGGAAAAATTAGTGGGTGCTCTGCACCCACTGGCAGCCAAACTCCAACCTCCTGCCCCACCTCACCTCTGCTCCGCCTCTGCCTCCTCCACTGAGCGCGCCACGTCTCTGCTTCTCTGCCTATCTCCCAGCGCTTGCCACTGCCAAACAGCTGTTTGGTGGCGTAGCAAGCTCCAGGAGGGAGGGAGGGGGGAGGAGCGGGAATGTGGTGTGCTCAGGGGAGGAGGCGGGGAAGCGGCGAGGCCGGGGAAGGAGTCGGAATAGGGGCAGGGAGGGGGCGGAGTTGGGGCAGGGACTTTGGGGAAGGGGTTGGAATGGGGGTGGGGCAGGGGGGAGTCGAGCACCCACTGGTGTGAGCAAAGTCGGCACCTATGATATCCACCTCCTAGCAGAGCTGAGGCTTGATTAATGCTTGTCAAACTCTATGTGAGAGCAAAGTATTAATACAATATCGGTGTCCATTCAGGGTGCCTTCCAGAGGAGGGTCTCACAACATTTTGCAAACATCAGTTGAACTTTACAACCCTTCCACCCCATTCCCCTCATGAGATGAGAAAGCTTTATTGTCCCCATTTTACAGATGGGGAAACCGAAGCATAGGATTTGCCGAAGTTTCTCGGCAAGTCTGTGGCAGACCTGGAGTGGAACCAGGATCTCCTGCCTTCCAGTCTTGTATCATAGCAACCCTTCTCCTGAATCCCCAATTACCCTCCACAGCTAAATAACACAAGACAGTATATTAAGTGCCCTGTGTGTTATGGGGCACATTAGACCAAAACATTATGCTCCAAGGCCGAGAACCATCTGCTGCACTGCCGTCACCCTCCCTCCTTGCCATTCTCTGGGCTAGTGTGGCTGAGAAGAATACGCCTTACCCATACGCTCTAGACAGCTGCCATAAACTGGCTTTAAATGCTCCTCCTTCCTTGGGGGAAATGTAGCAGTGGCCAGGAGGTGTAGGGGGTTCTTTCGAGTTTCCCCTGGGTAATGCAGAGGCCCCCAAGAACAGAGGGTGGAGCTGGAGAGCCATTATAGTTAAAATCCAGCTGTGGGCTGTCTGATTTGTGGAGCTCCTCATCTCTGCTGGAGCACCTCCCTGCTCTGCTGGACCTTAGGAACCATACAGCGCTGGCTTCTGCTCCAGAGGCAGAATTCTGAAAGTGCACAGGAGTGGGGCATGGCGAGACCAGGGTGGGCTGGCTAAGGAGCAGTGACGAAGATTGCAGGAGATGGTGCTTGGGAGAGGGTTTCTTGAGAGAAGTAGGAAGCCTGGGAGAAGGGGGCTGGTCTAGGGGAGCTGTTAGACTTTAAACTGGTCTATAAACAGTTCTGAGTGCATAGACTTTCTTGCACTAACTGATAGGATCCAGTCCAGATGCAGTTTAAGCCTTATGAGAAGCTTCTCCTGACCTCTTATGGATTGGAAATCTAACGAGAACAGACTCTTGAGACTTATATTGTTTATTAACTCATTGATTTTTTTTTTAACCCCATCACCAAAGCATCGGGACATATTATATAGATTAAAGGTAGCATCATGTTAAACTGCCTGCATTGACAGCACTATCTGTCTCCTCCCTGTGCCATCATATTCAGTTTTCACTAAGACTGCAGCCACTTAACCACAACCAAGAAAGTGCTTGTGTAAAAAGATACCTTGCACCATGCACAAAAGGTTGGATTATACCTCCTGATTCTGCCCTGCTCTGAAATATCAGGAGACTAGGCTTTCTTGTAGGATTCTGGTATTGCTCCTTCTTGTTCTGGCTGGAATTAAATAAATGCAGCGGGCACAACTGAAGTTCATCCAACTTCTTAAAACCTCAACAAACGCTTGGGTTCAGTGTGGTTCAACAGTTGGATCAGTTAGTATTTTAACAGAACTGTTTCACCACCCCTCATATGAAGTTATAAGTGGGAGATATGTGTTAAGACCAGGGATTGGAAAACATTGAGTAGAGGTACATGGCCATGGAACTGTCAGCCATAGCACCATGCATCTCCTTTGTTTTATTATTATTGCTGTATTAACTTGGCAAATAGTTTCATGGCCGCACAATGGAAATATTTAATTTCCCTTTATGGGAACCCTGCTCTGAAGCCCTGTTGAGCATTGCCTTTCCCAATCTAAGTTTTCATATGGACTGATAGCAAATCATATCTGCAGCTGGGGAGAAGCAACGCTTTCCAGATTAATGTAGTAAGAAATAGAAGGATTATGGAATCGATGGGCCTCTACAGAAAACTGGCTAAGGCCTGGATCCCACAAATGGAACAGTCCCAGCAGACCAAGGGAAGAGCAGATAGAGAAGAGCTTGGAAAAGAGAGTGCATGAGACTGCCTGTGTGGGCAATATATAAAAACTCAACTACTCTCACGGACAAAACAAAAGGGGGAGAGTGAAAAAGAAAGAGAGAGAGTGAAAAATGAATAGTGATGGAAAGGTCCAGGGTGAAAGGAGCTATAAAGCAAAGGCATGCCCCAGTATCTTGTGTGACTTGCACAATCTGTTTAACAGCGATCGGTCATGTTCTTTCCCTGACATTAGCTGCAGTAGCAGCTCTGAGCTGACAGGCAGCTGGGATAAATGATTACTGACATATGCTAATAGGACAGACTTAGGCAGGACATAAGAGGCATACATCAAGGTGGTGCAAAACATATTTCCTGGTCGAAACTCTGCAACTTGTGTAAGTAGATTAGCTTCAGGAAGCCACGAATCCTCTTCGTTGTTTAAACTGCAGTTTAAATCAACGTAGCCGCAAAAACTAATTCTCCTCCCCCCCCCCCCCCCCCCCGAAATGGTGGCCAATGCTAAGGAGTTTTTTATAATAGTATCTATCAATGGCAGATGTGGCCATGTAAACTCCCCACAGGTTTTGGATTCTCAGGCTTTCAGTTGTTTTCCCCTTCAGCCTAGCTCCCTTCTTCGTTTTCTTTGTAAAATGCCCCCTGGCTCTGTACTTGCGGTCTCTCTGTAATTTACACCACAAACAAACATCCCAGAATTCAAAAAAGCACCCAAGAGTGCAACGGGGGGCAGAGATTAATACAGCGAGGTGCTTAGATCCCATGCTAGGACATGAAACCTTAACCTTGTCTCTTATCTGGATCAAATTAGGTAAGTGTCATGTGGTTCTATAAACCTCAGCAGACCCTTCATTCAATCTCAAGGAGACTATTGTCAATCAGACAGTTTAGAGGAATACCAAGAGTGCAGACATTTCTGGAAACCTGTAATTCTCAGGGTAACAATACTTCTTGAACCAAATTAACCCGGCGTGGTATGAATTATTTATAGAGCTAAGCAACAAGATGGCACACTTTGTAAATGCCTGTTTTCTGAACAGTATTGCTTGCTCATTTCAGGGGTATGTTTGAGGTTCAGTTATTAATGAAGAATAAAAGATCTGGCTTGTATTAAGAGCGAGGCATAAAAAGATGCGTTTCTAATCTGGCAAAGCTGCTGAAAGTGTTCACAAGAATTTGGCAAACAAATAGCCTGAAGGAGGGAGTGAGTTGGAGGTTCCTATTTCCTCCATATCTGTCTTCTAGGCCCCTATGCTGCAAACACGCACATTCTTAACTTCAACCCTGTGAGTGGTACAACTGAAGTCAATGGGGCAATTCACATGCTTAAAATTAAATATGTGTAAGTGTATGCAAAACTGGGGCTTTAGATTGCAAGCTCATCAGGGCAAGGGCTGTCTTCATTGTTTGCTTTGTACAATAATACCAAGCACACTGTTGTATAGTGTTAAATGGGGTACACATGTATCTGTGCAGGTGCCCAATCATACCTTCTGAAAGTGGGGCATGTGCCAAAGGGAATCCAATTTCACAGGCTGTGGTGGTTTTCTGAGAAGCGTGGTCCGAGTTTCATAGACTTTATTTTTCTGCAACTAAAGGCAAATAAGATATGGGAAATAACCACCTAGGAACAAGCCTATTCCAGTGAAGAGATGCCTTCATGGATAAGATGATCTCCAATATGCAGTGGCAATTTAGACCTCATCCCGACAGAATTATAATTTTGTGAATTAAAGACATTTCTTGATAAATCATTTTTGGATCGATGGTCTTTAGAGGCAGCCTTTGGGTAAAGGGGATACTCCTATTTAATTGGTCTCGGTTTTCCTCTCATATTAACTTTTAACTCTAGCTGGCATTTATGCAGAGAACATTTTGCTCAGGAAAACCTCAATGTTCAACAAATGTAATAAGCTGATAAAACCATGCAGAAGCATTGTTTTCCTCATCATTATGGTGCAGCAACCTCTGGAGTGAAACAGAGCAGCTGTTCTGAAGAGAAAGAAGAAAATTATCCACATTTAACTGAAAGGCAGAGGGATTTTAGATAAGCAGATGATGTAGTTCTGATCTGAGCAGGGCATAAAGGTTAATGGGCCTACTCTTGCAAAAATGGTTATGGGATTCTTAGTGACCAAAAGTGATCAGTACCTCTATTTTATACTCCATCCCAAAGCACAGAGCCCTATTCTCCATGCTCGAGCAGTGGTTCAATAGTGACCCAGGAGAAGAGTCCATCTTGCAAGGTGTGGATTTCTTGACTGTTGGCCATTCAAGTACTATGCTAGCATGACCATGCTTAGCTTGTAGCACCTGATAGACACATAAAGTGCTACAGATTTTGTGAACTTTTTTGGCTATATGGTGAAACCTGGGATTCTGTATCACCTAAGTGCAGTCTAGTGTTTAGGTTTGCATTCCTTAATTCAATAGGAGACGCCTGCAGATTTCAGGAACTCTTGATAAAATGGAGGGAAACACAATAGTCTCTCTCTAAGATTAAAAAAAAATCAGTCATTAATAGATCAGGTAGCAATATATTTTCCAACATTCCAGACAGTGCAGCTGTAAACTAGCTGCTAATTAAAAACATTGTATTCTTGCACTTCAACTATAAAACATACTTTGTAATGGCAATAATACCGCTGAAATTGGTCATTACCATATTAACTCAACTCTTCCTTGAGCCATTAACTAATAAAACCAGTCATTGGCTGCTTTTAAATGTTATTACAATATTGCTGCATATAATGGTGCTGTGTTTCACACTCGGACGACCACTCTGCCTGCTGGAGACAGACAAGCAATGCCTAGATCAGGGCTGATGCCTTTACTAATTTTAACACATGTTGGAACGTATGTTAGGATGGTCACTGGTGCCAAGTAACTTGCACAGAGTCCATCTCTGGGGGTGACATTGTTCTGAGATCTTTCACTGGGACTCCCAGGGTAAAGATAAAATTCCTTTGAGGACTCCGGAATGTCAGAAGACTTTGGTCCCAATTGTCATTAACAAAAAGGCCACTTCCCACTGCAGCAGCGAAAAAGAGGCCTTACTGTTAAGGACAATCAAGCCCATTCACCTTAATTGATATGAGGGTTTTCAATCACAGTGGGAACCTTGGACCTGATTTTAAATGGTATTTAGGCATCTAAAGATGCAGATTGGTGCATAGTAGGGTTTTCAAAACTGCCTAGGTAGGTTAGATTCCTAATTCCTATTGAAAAAAGAACAGGAGGACTTGCGGCACCTTATAGACTAACAAATTTATTAGAGCATAAGCTTTCGTGGGCTACAGCTCACTTCACTGGATGCATAGAATGGAACATATAGTAAGATGTATACACATACAGATAAGTTGAAAGTTAGCATACAAACGGTGAGAGGCTAATTAGTTAAGATGAGCTATTATCAGCAGGAGAAAAAAAAACTTTTGTAGTGATAATCAAGATGGCCCAATGCCAACTCTGTTCACATATTTATTCAAGTGACACCATCATAGGATCTAATCACATTAGCCACACCATCAGGGGCTCGTTCACCTGCACATCTACCAATGTGATATATGCCATCATGTGCCAGCAATGCCCCTCTGCCATGTACATTGGCCAAACCGGACAGTGTCTACGCAAAAGAATAAATGGACACAAATCTGACATCAGGAATCATAACATTCAAAAACCGGTAGGAGAACACTTCAGCCTCTCTGGCCACTCAGTAAAAGATTTAAGGGTGGCAATTTTGCAACAGAAAAGCTTCAAAAACAGACTCCAACGAGAAACTGCTGAGCTTGAATTAATATGCAAACTAGATACCATTACCTTGGGTTTGAATAGAGACTGGGAGTGGCTGGGTCATTACACATATTGAATCTATCTCCTTAAGTTAAGTATCCTCACACCTTCTTGTCAACTGCCTAAATGGGCCATCTTGATTATCACTAAAATTTTTTTTTTCTCCTGCTGATAATAGCTCATCTTAACTAATTAGCCTCTCACAGTTTGTATGGTAACTTCCAACTTATCTGTGTGTGTGTATATCTATATCTAACTATATGTTCCATTCTATGCATCCGATGAAGTGGGCTGTAGCCCACGAAAGCTTATACTCTAATAAATTTGTTAGTCTCTAAGGTGCCACAAGTACTCTTGTTCTTTTTGCGGATACAGATTAACATGGCTGCTACTCTGAAACCTAATTCCTACTGAGTCATTCAGGGTTAGGTGCCAAGGGGATTTTGAAAATCCCATTAAGCATCTATCTGCCTCTTTCAGTGCCTAAATACCTCTAAAAATCTTCCCCCCGTCCCTAAAACATATACTCAGTTGTACAAATCTTGAGATTTGCACTATATAGCTATGGTGGTGTATGCTGACATAGAACAATGCTCTAGATACCTGCTAGCTGAAGCCAAGCTGACTTTAATGGAAAGGAAAAAAGAGAAATACGGACATTTCTGCAGAGGGAAAATGCTTTGCCGCAGAAAATGCAGTACTTTAAGATCTTTTTGCTTTGTTTTGATGGTGCTATTAGCAGCCAGGGAACCAAAGCTCCATCTTTAAACTTATCACTGATCTTAGAGCAACTGACATTTAGGGCATTGCCTTTTGCCCTGAAAAATCCCACAGGTATTTATAAAAATAAAAAGGGGATGTAGGGAGACCTTGCTTACCAGCAGTTCTTGTTCTCCAAATGCATTGCCTACATGAAGTGGCTTTGTAGGAAGAGTCCTGGCCCAACCATGGAACCTTTTTGAGCCGCTAGGGGCTGAGGCATGTCTCTCAAACCCTACACCCTTAGGGAGTGAGAGTATAAAAGCCCTGCGCCCTCCACCCACTACTGAAATGTTTCCGACTCTGGGGAGGAACAAAGCAGTGGCTTAACAGTGGTCAGCAAAGCTACACAAGTTTAGGACAGGAAGTGAGGGATACTACATCCAAAGTGCTGTTACCTTTTTTTTTTCCACTTGCTGGGTATTGGCTACTACCCTCTGTTGCTCCATCCACACCTCCTTGTACCTGTGCTGGAGAAGGTCGAAGAAGGGAGTGGAAGGCCTACAAAACATTCAGACGATAAAATCACAATGGGCCAAAGCATCCCACGGGTACACCCATTTGGTCCCTCTAAAAAAGACTTTGATTTATGTCTGCAGAGGATGGCAAATGCGACTGGTGAGAATGTTATGGCTATATCATCTCTGCTGGAAATACGAAAATCTGTTTTGATGAGAGGGCCCTGCTGCAGAAAGAAACCGTATCATGTACGCTCACCCAGCACTAAATGGCCCCATGTATAGTATTTGCTCAAGATAACCACGCAATATATAGTGTAAGCTTCCCTAGTGCATTCACCACACTCCGATCACCAAATGTGCCTTTCTGCACAATATTGGGGCAGCTTTGATCTCCAGCAATAAAGGTCTCTAGTATGGTGGAAGGATCGCAGCAGCACCTTGCCTGACAACTCAGTCTGGGACCCAGCTAAGACTTAGAGACAGCACATTCTAGCCTTCTGGACTTGGGGCATCCATTCTGGGAACCAAGTAGCTCAGGGAAAAATGATAAAAGGCTGTGCTGAGCCTTCACATCAATATCCGAGAGCTTTGAGCTGTGATTCTGGCCCTGACAGGCCTCCAGAAGTCCTGCCTTTGTCAGTACGTTCCCCACCCATCTGAGTGGTAGTTGCCTCTGAATTAACAAAGGGGCACAAAGAGTGAGGTGGTGTGACGAGAGGCTCTGAAGTCCATCAGACCTCCCATGTGCCAAAGAAGCTGAACCAGGCAACAGCAGGGCCGAACTGAAGGCCTGGCAGACTGGGCCTGGGAGGGGCTTCCAGCTGTAGCGGGACAAAGGGAAGATGCTGATAAACACCTTGCCCATTAAGCAACTTAAACGAGAGTTGAAATGTTCCATCAGAAAAATGATCCATTTGTGCTCAGAGAGGAAGGTCTTGAAAAGCAAAACCAAAAACCTCCTCCTCACTGACAAAGAAAATAGACATTCAGGCCAAGGTCTCCCAGTCTCATCGTTCACTGACCTCGATCCCTGCAATCAGTATACAGAGGAGCCAGAACCCATCACACAAACTGCACAAAGATTCACAGATTCCAAGGCCAGAAGGGACCACGGTGGTCATCTGGCCTGACCTGAGGTATAACAGAGGCCACGGATTTAATTCCTCTTTGAACTAGCTCAGATCTTTTAGAAAAACGTCCAATCTTGATTTTAAAATTTCTAATGATGGCAAAGCTACCCCTGCCCCCAGCATGAATCCAGTTGCAGGCCTTGCATTTCACACCCTGATTCCTAGCATGGTAGGTGCTCTTCAAATTTTCTGTTTTGCTTTGTTTTTGTTTTTTTATTCTATTTTTTTTACCTCCTTCCCCACACTTCATACAAAACAACAACAACTATATCCGGGAAGGAAATACAATTAAAACAAAAGAGAGAGATTACGGTATCCCTGACACGGCGGTTTAGTGATCATTACAAGTGATGATGTCTGAAGTGGTGGGTGTACTCAGGCCTAAGTTTAAGCCCGACCCAGACCTAAATTGGATCCAAGACCACATAAGCCAAGCCCAAAAGAGTCTAATTATTTTCTGACTTGACCCCGACTCTTTCCCCTCAACTTAAGTCAGTGCATCTGCAACCTCTGGCCCATGGGGTTGGCCTAGTGGTGGCTCCATGCTCCGCTCCTGGCTGCCGTTGCCCCAGCCTGGGCTGTGTGTGTTGTGAAGTGAGAGGTGCTGTGACTCCTTGGCACACTCACTCTGCATTGCAACAGCAAGATGGTGCTGGCTGGCAGGAGCAAGGTAGGAAGCTGCCCTGGCACCAACCCTATGGGCAGGAGGAGAAGAGCTGACCTGAACCCGACACTTGTAATTGGGTCCTGTTGGGTCTGGGCTGGGTTGCGGGGCTCTGCTCTGAAGCTCATACAAAATTTTAATTTGTAGAACTACTGACTATAGGCCCTAACTGAAATCAGGGCCTCATTGTGCTAGGCCCTGTACAGACATAAATAAAAGGTAGGCCCTTCCCCAAACACCTTAATAGTTCAGATAAAATGTGGGAGCAGGGAAGGATTATTATCCCAATTTAACCAAGGAGGAACTAAGGCACAGAGATTAAATGGACTTGTTCAAGGTCACATAGGGAGTCTGTAGGAGAGCTGTCAACTGACTCCAGATCTCCTGGGTCCCAGTCCAATGCCTTCTCCATGTGCACCAAACACATCCTGCCTCTTAAAATAAAGTTCTTAAAGTTGGCAAAGAACTGGGAGAACCTTCTTTTTTTTTTTTTTTTCTTTTTTTTTTGGGGGGAGAGATGGAGTCTTAATAGTAAAAGTCTGACTTTAATATCACACTAAATACAGTGTTTTCGATGTGGCTTCCCAACAGGCTCCACTACACTAGCTGTGTGTGAACGGATACAATGGTGAAATGCTCCCGCCAGGAGGCATGTACAGGGCATGTACGATGCCAGAGGTAACATGCTCAGCACATGGCTTAGCTAAGCCTCGAGGAACAGAAGAATAAAGAGAGTAAAAAGGCAGCTGCTTCTCAGTTAGTATCCTGGCTAAATGAATTGAGCTGATAGTAGCCAGAGTGGCAAGCTGTGAGAATCGGAACTGTGTGTTTGCACCCTTCCTTCTTTGTGACTTTGGTCCGAGGAGGCAGGGCAGGTTTAATTTCACCAGCCAATGTGAAAGATGGAGCAATAGCAAGGAAGCAGAAAACATCCTTACTGTGAATACAGTTCGTTTCCTCAGGGTGAGTTTCATGATTGAGAAATGGTCTGAAATAAACAGGATGAAATTCAATGACAAACGCAAAGTACTTCACTTAACAAGGAACAATCAGTTGCACACATACAAAATGGGAAGTGACTGCCTAGGAAGGAGTACCGCAGAAAGGGATCTGGGGGTCATAGTGGATCACAAGCTAAATATGAGTCAACAGTGTAACGCTGTTGCAAAAAAAGCAATCATTCTGGGATGCATTAGCAGGAGTGTTATAAGCGAGACACGAGAAGTAATTCTTCCGCTCTACTCTGTGCTGATTAGACTTCAACTGGAGTATTGTGTCCAGTTCTGGGTGCCACATTTCAGGAAAGATGTGGACTGATTGGAGAGAGTGTAGCGAAAAGCATAAAAAATGATTAAGGTCTAGAAAACAAGACCGATGAGGGAAGATTGAAAAAATTGGGTTTGTTTAGTCTGGAGAAGAGAAGACTGAGAGGGGACACAACAGTTTACAAGGTGGTTACAAGGAGGAGGGAGAAAAATTTTATTTAACCTCTGAGGATAGGACAAGAAGCAATGGGCTTAAATTGCAGTAAGGATGGTTTAGGTTGGACATTAGGAAAAACTTCCAAACTGTCAGGGTGGTTAAGGACTGGAATAAATTGCCCAGGGAGGTTGTGGAATCTCCATGATTGGAGGTTTTTGTTTGTTTGTTTTAAGAGCAGGTTAGACAAACCTGTCAGGGATGGTCTAGGTAATCTTAGTCCTGCCTTGAGTGCAGGGGACTGGACTAGATGCCCTCTTGAGGTCCCTTCCAGTTCTACGACTCCATGATGGTATTTCCAGCAGCAAATGTTAAACTAAAAACGCAAAATGATGGGTAAGTGAAGGGATCTTGATTTTACTATTTTTATAAATTCTCCTCCCCACACACCCTTCTGATGAGGAATTCTTCCATTGCAGCAGCAGCAGCCTATTACAATATGTAGCCACCAGACACCCTGCTCTGCTTACTCCTGTAGCATAGCCTTAGTTGCCACTACTACAATAGGAATGCTCTCTTCCAGGCCTGTCCAGGCCAACTGCTAGGTGGCATTAACAGCAAGAAACTACCACCACTGGCTAGCAATCAGGGCTACTCCTGTATCCTCCTGCACCAGGAGATTGTCTTCTGTGGAGAGAGCATGTCCTCTGGTCCACAGAACCACTCCCTTCTTATGCTTCTAAGTTTCCAGCAGGACTCAGTCTGAAATCAGTAGCAACCAGCTTTTAAATGCCACTCGTGCTTGGAGAATCTTTTAATAGTGCAGAAGGATGCCAGCAGTGCATATGCAAATACTAACTCTTCTGTTTCTGTTTCCTTCACCCCTGCGGTGACTTTTATTACTTAATTATTGCACGCCACATGCTTCAGAACAGCCTAATCTATGGTCGTGTTTTCTAATGATACTGGATGCCCAATCTAGCCATCTACACCCCCAGAGGCCATTTGTATGGGAAGAGACATCTTTCTACAAATCTACCATTTCATAGATCACATGCTGCTGGGGTCGGTCTTTTCAAGCATTTGCTTACAAACCAGCTGCTGACTCTAACCATTCACCAGCTGGCTAGCAAGGGGACACCATGACACAAAAGATTACACTGACTTGTCCCTTGGTTTCCTTTTCTCCCTCTGATTTGAATCTACATTCTAATCAGGGAGCTTGGCAAATTAGATACTAAAATAATTTACTAAAAGAAAATGCAGAACAGGTCTGATTGTGTGAAGTGCTGAGCACCCTTTATCCACAGGAGAGGGCCCCCAGGGGAAAATTGGCAACTCTTGAGCAGGTAACTTAAATTTGACAGCCTGGTTTAGTAACTCAGTCTACCTGGGTACGTTTGTTTAGTCCTGGCAAAAACACAATACAAAGCCACACACATTAACTTGTTTGCTGCTTGGCTGATCGCCCTTTATTTACTGTTTGGATGGTATAGTGCAAGCCACTGTCCCAATGGTGCGGTGCTTGCATATTGCGTCATCGGAAAGCTGCTAATACAGTACCCACCAGTGTGACAAAAGGAACAGAAAGCATCACTGATTGCATTGGCTTGCAGTGTGCAGAAAGATACATTTGGAACACAGAAATGATCAAACTGGGGACAGAGCGGTGACACATCTAATCCACTCCCTCTGGTGTGTCACTTTATGGCCACCATCTTTCTGGTCCACTGGGATTCCCTCCCGCATTGTTCAGAAGGGTTGCTGCTGTGTGATGTTGCTACCCACCCCCCCAACAGACAGAGGGTGCTGCCCCACTGTATATTC